ATATTGCTTGCACAAGGTATCTCAGTTTTCAATAGACTTGAACATGGACATAATTCATTTATATATAATTCTGTATACCGGTGTTTTCCATGCCTTTATACACACATGCACAAGTTTACATCTTTATATATCTATCATCTATCTGAATACATGCATAATATTTATATACATATACACATTTATGGAGAGAGAGATTACAAAAACAGGATCTCCATGATATTTAAAAATTCTTCAAAAGCTTTTTTGGGAAGTTATAATTAAAATAAGATTATTTTGGTGCAAAAAATTTTTGAAATCCACACAAAGGTTTTTCATACTATGCATTTTCCATGAACTTTTTGAAAACCTGTTAGAAAGAGCTAAAGATTCTTATTCACATTCTTTTGGAGGGTAAAGATTATTAGCAAAACACATCAATTACTGTATTCTTTCAACCCTGTTTTGTATTGGCTATTTCTTTTGTTTCTTTCCACTAATGTCACAAACCTGAAGTAATCTTCTCTCTTTTTCATTGTGAATGTCAAATTATCGCTACTATAGTGTTAGATTTGTATCCAAAAGTTATTGACCCTGGAAGAAACCCTTCATATTTCTATTTCTCCCAATACTTATGAACTGTAAACAATAGCTCATAACTTTCTGGGTTGTTATGAAGTTTGAATTAGTGCATGTAAGTGCTCTGTATTTCTCAAAAAAGTTCTGATGCAGTCAGAGATTTTACTATTAATCTTCACAGTAATAAATCAGCTTGACTAATTTGTAATCAGTAACAGTGTCTTGTAGGATATATATATAATATATATAGAGAGTGATATATATATAGTGATATATATAATATATAGAGTGATTATATGTATATATATGTATATATATAACCAACATTGTAAACAGTCTTGTGAGTACTTACCGTTCTTTGTTGTGTTGGATAATAAAGAATGTGTAGGCAAGTAGTGAAACCTTCTGATTTCTGATTTAGAATCCTAAATTTCTAGAATAGAATCTAGAAGATCATGTGTCTATGTATTGTACTAAGTGTATTTGGGTCTACAATGATAGGCAGAAGATTTTTAAAATTTTAATTCTACATATTTATGGTGTACAGTGTGGTAATTTGGTACATATATTCAATGAGTGATGCTCATATCAGGTTGTTTACCATTTCCATCTCCTTAAAGAATTAACATGTAATAATTATACTTACTTATAGGGTAGAGTGTGATACTTCAGTATATATGTACCATGTGTGCTACCCAAATCCAAATGATTAATATTTCTCTCTTTTCACTGCCCTGTGTTTGGAACCTTCCAGCTCTTCTATTGTATTTGTTCATAAAATATATAATAGGTTATTGTGAACTATAATCACTTCATGATACTGTAGAATCTGTAACTTACTTCTTCTATCTGGCTGTGTTTTGGTACTCAATATTTAACCTTTCTCTCTCCCCCTCCAACTTTTCTAAGTTGTAGTAATCACTCTTCTACACCCAGATCGACCTTGTTTATTTAATTTCCAAATCTGAGATAGAACATATGGTTTTTATCTTTCTGAGTCTGACTTATTTCACGTAATATGATATCCTTCAGTTGTATCTATTCTGCTGAAAATAATAGGATAAGATTCTTTATGGGTGAATAAGTATTCCATTATGTACGTACACCACATTTTCTTTTTTAAAAAAATTATTTATTTATTTGAAAGACAGAGTTACATAGAGAGGGAGACAGAGACAGAGACAGAGAGAGACAGAGAGAGATCTTCTATCCATTGGTTCACTCCCCAAATGGCTGCAATGACTGAAAATGAACAGATCTAGAGCCAAGGGCCAGAAGCTTCTTTTAGGTCTCCCGCATAGGTGCAGGGGCCCAAGGACCATCCTCCACTGCTTTCCCAGGCACATTAGCAGGGAGCTGGATTAGAAGCAGAGCTGCAGGGACATGAACTGGCGCCCAAAATGAGTGCTAGTGTAGCACGCGGTGATTTTACTGGCTGTGCCACAATATCAGCCCAGTATACCACATTTTCTTTAAAATTCTAGAGCAATACATTGACTTGTCAACTAACAAAAACAGATATTTAAAGGATTCAGGTAAGGAAAATGAGGGAGGTACTTTTAAAAGCTCATCAAAAGTAAAATTAAAAAGATAAGTTCACTTGGGTACAAAAAAATTTTGAACTCCATGCATAGTTTTACTATAACATGTACTTTTCATAAGCTTTTTGGAGACCCCTCATAGGAGCAAGGAATTGAAAATTGCAGTATCAGGCTAAGAAGTGAAAACAAGAAGCAAATTTCTTTTCTTACAGAAAGCCAACATTAGGAATCACAGACTATAATGTTAAAATCTAAGAAACTCTTGGTTTCCAGGACTGATTTCTGGGTCCTTAGATTTGGAGTCCAGCCTTGTGGTGCCATTAGGTTGGGTGCTCCTGGTTCTTCTGGACTCCTAGCTACTTAGGCTGGAGAAGTGTTCAGAGTTGTACTAGATCATAACTCTACCCCAAACTGCAAGATTTAGTCACAAAAGCACATCAAACATAGATTTCCATCTAGATGTTAAAGTCAATAGTAAGCTAATGCTAAGGCTAACTAGAGTAGCATATCTTAGGTGAGTAGCTTATTCCCATTTGGTCAGGACTCTCCTGAATTTAGCACACAAATTTCATGCTTGGGTGCTCCTGGTTCTTCTGGACTCCTAGCTACTTAGGCTGGAGAAGTGTTCAGAGTTGTACTAAATCATAACTCTACCCCAAACTGCAAGATTTAGTCACAAAAGCACATCAAACATAGATTTCCATCTAGATGTTAAAGTCAATAGTAAGCTAATGCTGAGGCTAACTAGAGTAGCATATCTTAGGTGAGTAGCTTATTCCCATTTGGTCAGGACTCTCCTGAATTTAGCACACAAATTTCATGCTTGGAAATCTCCTCAATTTAAGGAAAATGAACATAGCTGATCACTAATTGTCACTGAATGAATATCTGGATACAAGACAATCTGGAGAATTTTAAAATTTTTAGTTGTCAAATCTTTAGGAACTGAAATTTAGAAGTTTGACTTAGTGGAGAAACCATAATTTCTTAGTACTGTAAGGTTACAGATTGCATGTGTGATCATTCATCTGCACATTTGGGGTGGGAGCAGGTGTTTCCCTTCAGTGGAGGTCAGTGAGGAATCAAAACATTTTTGGCTAACAGTATAGATAACTGTACAGATAACTATAGATAACTATAAATAACCAGTGTAGATAACTGCTCAAAGTGGCATTGCAATCAAGATGTTAAGCGTTCTATATATTCTTATAGTGATGACTGAAGTAAAGACTCAGTTTTTGGGGCCGGCAGCATGACTCACTTGGTTAATCCTCCGCCTGTGGCACCGGCATCCCATATGGGCGCCGGGTTCTAGTCCTGGTTGCTCCTCTTCCAGTTCAGCTCTCTGCTGTGGCCTGGGAAGGCAGTGGAGGTTGGCCCAAGTGCTTGGGCTCCTGCACCCACATGGGAGACCAGGAGGAAGCACCTGGCTCCTAGCTTCGGATTGGCGCAGTGTGCCGGCCACAGTGGCCACTAGGGGAGTGAACCAATGGAAGACCTTTCTCTTCTGTCTCTCTCACTGTCTATAACTCTACCTGTCAAAAAAAAGACTTAGTTTTCTCCAATTTTTAGATTTCATAATTTAGACACTGAGGATGTTGTAGTCATTGAAGCAATCGCACCAATCAAGAACTTCAATAATTATTTTTGAAATATTTCATTATTTTTATGTGTAAAATTGACAGCTTTCTCAATCAACATCAATTATTGCATCTTACTCAAATTCATGAATACAAATATATACATCAACTGACAGAAACTAATGCACACAAGGAAATGTTAGTTTTATGCATATCTATGCTTATTCATATTTAAAAGAGAATATTAGATTGTATCTATACATATACCTATATGCCTATAGATTTTGTTTCTCTGGAGAACCATGACCAATACTGCATGTTGTATCAGTCTTTTAATTGATAGGACAACTATAGGTTATTTGTAAAATCCATTCACTTATTGTTGGTTCTGGGAGCCAAGATATATAAGGAATTGAACCCTACTCTCTTTCTTCTAACTATGTTTTGTTCCACCCTGCACAACTAGATTCAACCATAGTCTCCATCTATATGCCCAGGGGTGAACTTTTCCAAGGGAAACAGGATGTAGGCTGACATCTCCACTACTCAATCTTTGCATTCAAACTCATTTTTTCTTTTCTTTTTTTATTAAAGTACACATAACATGATGTTTACCATTTTAACCACTATTTGATATAATCATATTGTTGCACAACTACCACCACCATTAATTTCCAGAACCTTCTCTTCTTCCCCAACTTAAACTCTGTACCCATTAAACCATTGCTCCTTATTCTTCCCTCCCATCCATCCTTGGCAGCCACCAATGTTTTGTGTTTATTAATTTTTGTTATTATGAAGTTGACTACTCTAGGCACCTTAATATAAGTGGAACCATACTCTATTAGCCCTTTTATGACTGGTTTACTTAACTTACTATAATGTTTTTGCAATTCCTTCATGATGTGCTAGGTATCAGAATTTACTTTTTCAAGGCTGAATAATATTCCAATGCACATATATAACACATACAGCTAATCAATTCATCTAGTGATGGACATTAGAGTTGCTTCCAATTCTTCGCAATTGTGAATAATGTTACTATAAACAAGGGTACATGGATATTTATTTGATACTGTGCTTTCTTTCAATTTATTATGTGTATATTCAGAAATGTAATTTCTGGATTGGAGGGTCTCAATCATTTTTTATAAAAGTTAGAAATGGAAGCTTCATCAAACCTGGAATGTTGGAGCCTGCACAAGATGAGTGGTCTCCTGCTTTTCTCTGTCTCATTTATGACAGAATCTACTTTTCTTAGGAATGAGTAATGACCATCTTGTATACCACAATTTCAACTCTTCTCCTTCTTTATGTTCCTCAGCATTGATCCCATCTGCAGGCCCAGGCTCCTTTCAAGGACTATATTTTTACATTGAACTTTGTTGCATATTTATCTAAATTAGCAAAAGCAAATTGCAATCACTAGAAGAATCCAGAATTTAGAGCAAGAGCTGAAGAAACAAACATCCAGACAGAAAGTATGAAGCAAAATCAGCTTCAAGACATTTTTCAATGTATCAGAAGCTAATAAAATCGAAGGAAGATGAATTGGTGAAGTGAATAGACAAGTTGGTGGATGAAACAAGGTAAAGTTTGCAGGTAATCTAACCAGTTCACCAGCAGGAAAACTGTGTGTTTCAGGCTTGGTTCTGAGTAGATGCAAGTCTGCCCTTTGCATTGGTAATCAGGAATGTGCATGCTGTCTGGTTCAAGGTTATGCTACCTCTGTTGTCTTGACACATCCAAACCAATAAGTTAGAAAAAAATTTAGCCCAGGCTTATAATGCCTTGGGATTGTTTCCAGAAGCAAATGCCAAACCTCAACCCAGGCCACTTGAGATTCCTATTATCATGGATGTTGTTAAATAAAAAATGGCTGAGAGATTTAGAAATTAACAGAAGTATTTCAAGACTTGCAAAGAATGATGTTTTTTTTTTTTACTGCATTGCTAAGTGGTTCGCATATGTTCCATACAAACAATTCTCTTAATTTAATGATGAACAAAATCATAACAAATTAATATAACAATTATATTATCTTTTTGTTCATGTTATGATGAAAATTAAACCAAAATTCGTGCTCAAAGCTACTAGCTAATTAGTTTATATATAAAATAACAGCAATAACTATTAGTACTGTTCTCAAATATACATCTATAATATACTATATATATAATATAGACACAGAATAATACTTTACAGAATTTATCATACTGTGAACTTTTGCAAAGGGGAAGTGAAGAAAGCATGCGAGAAGGGGAATGTTGGGACGGGATTGGTACTCTTAATGTTTCTGTGCCCTTTCATGCCTAAGGCCCTGATGTCTTCAACTAGGATTTGGGAGCAATGTCCTGGGCCTCTGCAAACTTCTCAATGTGTGGTCTCACTCTGGTATCCCTTATTAACCCTTTCTGCAATGCCAACTCTTCACTTAGGTTCTTCAATCAATTCTTCAGTTGGACTTTCTGTATGGACTTTGTTGTTGTTGTTGTTGTTGTTTTGGATATTCTTTTTCAGATGGCTCTGAGAGCTTTGATTTCGTCTCTGCAACCTCAGCTCCAAACACTAACTTCTAGGTATTGGTCAAGGACGAGAGGACAACATGAATAGGAGACTGATTACCTCCTTCTAACATTCTTAAAGTGATCTCACATATTTACAGAGTCATAGTAGTGTTTATCATGATCAATGGCTGCAAAAACAGTGAACTGAACTCACAACTTTATTACTACAGCTATAGCTGAGCAAAATAGATCACTCACGCACTTAAGAAACTGTACATAAGGAACTGAGATTTCTTTCTTACTTAAGTGCCATAGATGCTCACCCGAGTGAAAAGAATCTATGTTGTGGGGAGGGAAATAGCTAGGAACACCAGATGTTTGCTAATTATTTTCAAATAAAATTAACTAGATGGAGCTTTAAGCAAAGATAATCTTGGAGGGTAAAATAAATCTCATTCTTCCTTTGCCTTTATAATTATTGGTAATAAATCCATCTAAATACTCACCATTGCCTCTGTATCTGTTCCTACCTATAGAGTTCAAGCCTTACAGGACCCCTTCCTTTGGCCAAAGGATCATATTCAGCAACTCTGTAACTGGCTGTGGGTCAGCTGAAGAGTTATCCAGGCTTCATTTTCCCATCTCTCCTTCTTCTTTCCCTATGCAAGGGACTATTTCAAAACTTTGAGGAAAAATGGAATTATAAGAAATGTTTGGGGCTGGCATTTGGCCTGGCAGTTAAGACACCACATCCACTGTTGGAGTGCCTGACTTCAGTCCCCTCTGCTCTTCCGATTCCAGCTTCCTGTTAACACACATCCTGGGAGGCAGCACGTGATGGCTGGAGTAGGTAGACCCCTGACACCCAAACAAGAACATTGGAATGAGTTTCTGGCCCTGTCTTTTGGCCCAGCTGCAGTCATTTCAGGCATTTTGGGAGTGAACCAGCAGATGGAAGTTCTCTCTGCCTCTCTGTCTGAGAATTCATTCATTCTTTCATTTCAAAAGATTAATTTATTTTGGTGTAAAAAACTTTGAAATCTGTGCATAGTTTTTCACAATATACAATTTCCATGAGCTCTTTGAACCCCCACATGTACTGATTTCAAAAAAATTTGAAAATATGCTTATTTTAATTTCATTTCCAGAAACTTTTAAAAGTAGCCTTGTGTAACTGGTCCTCATCTTAGCCCACTCTTCCTGGCCTGCTATGTTTGACTTTGATGTAGGATGTGTTAGGACTCCCACCCCAAGCCTGGCAGTCACACCAGACAATGCATTCAGGAAGCTCAGGATTTTTAAAATCCAAGTACCCTCTATAAAAGAATTATGTAAGAACCAGCAATTTTGGTAAAAATGCACCTCTGCCTTTACTGGAATAGGACCTAATTTTGGAAAAGAATGGATCCTTTTCTTCACAGAGGAACTGATTCTAGAAAAGTAAAGAACCTGGACAAAACTAAAGCTGCAATTCAAATGACGCACATAGAAGAATGAGAGCTGCTCTGGACCTACAACAGATGGAGTGGAAGATGCAGACTTACTGGGAAATAATTTTATTCTTATTCTCAACAAAGTTAAGAAGAGTGTTATAAGTGAAAACAAGCAGCTGTAAAGAAGGATCCATTTGATATCAGGTAGAGTTTTATGGAAGACAAAATACTGTAACAGAATCAGTAATATGTAATGGGTACTTCTAAACATTTCATTTCTGTAATATTAAAGCAAATACAAGAATGTCTTCCATTTTTAAAAAATATTTTTTGAGAGGCAGAGTTACAGAGAGGGAGAGACAGAGAGAAAGGTCTTCCATCCATTGGTTCACTCCTCAAATGGCGGCAATGGCTGGAGTTGAACTGGTCCAAAGCCAGGAGCCAGGAGCTTCTTCCAGATCTCCCAAGTGGGTGTGAGAGCCCAAGATAGGACCATCTTCCACTGCTTTCCCATAAGCAGAGAGATGGATCAGAAGAAGAGCAGCCCAAATGGGATGCCAGCACTGCAGGCAGAAGCTTAGCCTACTCTGCCATAGTGCTAGCAGTTCACCTCTGACATAGCTTAGCTTGGCATAGAGTCCAAGGTATATAATATTTTCCAAGAGGACAAATACCATATGTTCTCCCTGATTTGTGATAACTAATAGAAAACCTGAAAGGTAATTTGTAGAAGTGAAACTAGCACTTCAAGATACAATGACTTTGAACAGACCTTGTCTTGACTACTGAGGAACAGTTTTGTTTTTTTTTTCCATATAATTTGTGGAATCTTTACTTAGTATACAGTTAATTTTATGTGTGTAAAGTTAATTGAAAATAGATCTGGGGGCCGGCGCTGCAGCTCACTAGGCTAATCCTCTGCCTTGAGGCGCCGGCACACCGGGTTCTAGTCCCAGTCGGGGCGCCGGATTCTGTCCCGGTTGCCCCTCTTCCAGGCCAGCTCTCTGCTGTGGCCAGGGAGTGCAGTGGAGGATGTCCCAAGTGCTTGGGCCCCACACCCCATGGGAGACCAGGAGAGGTACCTGGCTCCTGCCATCGGATCGGCGCGGTGCTCCAGTCGCAGCGTGCTGGCCGCGGCGGCCATTGGAGGGTGAACCAACGGCAAAGGAAGACCTTTCTCTCTATCTCTCTCTCTCTCTCTCTCACTGTCCACTCTGCCTGTCAAAAAAAAAAAAAAAAAGAAAAAAGAAAGAAAGAAAATAGATCTGGGGCAGTGGGTTAATGCCCTGGCCTGAAGCTCCGGCATCCCATATGGGCGCTGGTTCAAGTACTGGCTGCTCCACTTATGATTCAGCTCTCTACTATGGCCTGGGAAAGCAGTAGAGGGCCCCTGAACTCATGTGGGAGACCCAGATGAAGCTCCTGGCTCCTGGCTTAGGATCAGCCCATCTCCGGCTATTGCGACCAACTGGGGAGTGAACCATTGGATGGAAGACCTCTCTCTCTCGCTCTCCTCCCTCTCTCTCTGCCTCTCCTCTCTCTGTGTAACTCTGAATTTCAAATAAATCTTTTTTTTTGGGGGGGGGCAGGCAGAGCGGACAGTGAGAGAGAGACAGAGAGAAAGGTCTTCCTTTGCCGTTGGTTCACCCTCCAATGGCCGCCGCGGTCAGCACACCACACTGACCCGATGGCAGGAGCCAGGTACTTATCCTGGTCTCCCATGGGGTGCAGGGCCCAAGCACCTGGGCCATCCTCCACTGCACTCCCGGGCCACAGGAGAGCTGGCCTGGAAGAGGGGCAACCGGGACAGAATCCGAAGCCCCGACCGGGACTAGAACCCGGTGTGCCGGCGCCGCAAGGTGGAGGATGAGCCTAGTGAGCCGCGGCGCCAGCCCAAATAAATAAATAAATCTTAAAAAAAAAGAAAAAGAAAATAGATCTTAGTAACAAATGAGGATGGGAATAGGAGAGGGAGGGGGAGATACGGCGTGAGTATGGGTGTGAAGGCAGGTATGTTGGGAAGACTCACTATATTCCTGAAGTTGTATTTATGAAAAATAAATAAATAAATTGTTATACATTAAAAAAAATACTATTCCCACTGCTGCTTCCAGAGGTTTTGACATCTGTTAACTATTATTTAAATACATTTTTTGAGCTTTGCTGTTGTTTTATTCCTTTGTCACCAATGTTTTCTTTAAAAAAAAAAGATTTATTTTATTTATTCTAAGATAGAGTTACAGAGAGAGGTAGCGACACAGAGAGGGAAGGTCTTCCATCCGCTGGTTCACTCCCCGGATGGCTGCAATGACTGGAGCTGCACCAATCCGAAGCCAGGAGCCAGGAGCTTCATCTGGGTCTCCCACATAAGTGCAGGGTCCCAAGGACTTGGGCCATCTTCTACTGCTTTCCCAGGCCACAGCAGAGAGCTGGATCGGAGGAGGAGCAGCCGGGACTAGAACCAGCGCCCATATGGGATGCCAGCGCTTCAGGCCAGGGCTTTAACCCACGGCACCACAACGCTGGCCCCTCTGGTCATTTCTATTAGGAATTCTATGTGCTTGTTCTTTGTACTTGGTCATCCCTTTCTTTCTCCAAATTATGGAACTTTTCTGTGTTTATTCTCTACATCCTTACCAATACTTCTAAACTTTTGTTTTTTTGATAATAGCCAATAATACTGGAGTGAGGTGATATTTCATTGTGGTTTTGGTTTATATTTTTGTGATGATTAGTGATGTTGACCCTTCTTCCATGTACCTCTTGGCTGTATGCACATCTTTCTTCCAGAAATGTCAGTTTAGATCCTCTGCCCATTTTTAAATTGGAGTTTTATTATTATTTGCTGTTGAGTTGTTTGTGTTCCTTATATATTCTGATGATTATTTATTATTTATTATGTATGGCTGGTAAATATTTTCTACAGCTCTGCAGGCTGTCTCTTTGTTGATTGTTTCTTTCGCTGCACAAAAACTCTTTTGCTTGATGAAATTCTATTTGTTTATTTTTGTTTT